TGCGTTAATGGAGGTATAGGATGGGAATAGAATAATGAAAGAAGAAAATGGTCGATTGGACTTCATCAATTGAGAATGAATTCAATTTTCTATTAGTTCATTGGATAAAAATAGAGAGAGAGAGAGAAATCGATCTTCTCTGTAACATCTTCAGCAAAAAAAAGACAAATGGCATGGTACTATATATATTCTTCTGCCATTCAGTTCAATGTTATCATTGCTGAGAATGAATGCAACAGTATCAACAATCATCGCTCTCGATATAATACCTGATCCTGAAAACAATCAGATATCTATTTTTAAACAAGAGCCGAATCTAAATGAATCATCAACAATGGATGAAGCTGATATACAAGTGATCAATATCAATGAAGATGAATTAGAAATTGAATTAGGTCTTGATTTCGGTGATTATTATGATACCGATTATGATGAATACGAAGAAGATGAAAATGAAATCATTCAACAGCTTGAAGCTGTTGATCCAAATCAATGCCCTGGTGCTTAGATTGAGGCTATTGTTTTTTGTTATTTGTTAGTTGAATTATAAATAAAATTTTAATAAATAGATTTCTTTTTATTTTTTGATTTCACAACAATCCATTTCATGATACCACAGTAGCCAACATGATGAATTGGATATTTACAAGCTCGGTTATTTGAAAAATAGACAACAAGTTGTGATATAGGATGAAATACCATGTGAATGACTTTAAAATAGAAAGAAAGCAAAGATATTTTTATTTATTTATTTATTTGATAACAGTTGGCAGATGAACAATTTCAACAATTATTTCACAATTTTTTTTCTCTTTTTACGTTGAAATGAATTTAGTTATCCAGCTATCTATAGAAATGAACAATTTCATCAATTTTACGTAAAAATTTATTAGAACAACCATCAGTTAAAGTGTAGCTATTGTTGATCATATTATTCAAAATCAAGATGGTCAAGATGATGAAGAAACAAAAAAAAAAGACAAATCTAATAAATTTCAAAATAAAATTTGTATTCATTTTTTTACATGAAGATCGATTTTGCGGTTTACCACGAGTCAAATATTGAATATGAATTAACAAAAAAGCGACCATCTTCATCCTTATTGAAAAAGCAGCTTTTTCTATTTATTCTTTTCATTAAATTTTCAAATTATATTTGCCCTTAAAACTTTATAGTCCATAGAGATTGGTTTCGCGAACAAAATTTTTAAAATAAAAGTAAAAATTGCTATTCGTGATGAATCTTTATCGTCATCGATAACAACAACAAGAACAACATTATATATTGATGTTGAATTCAAACATGAACAGTTGAAATATTATCGGAAAGTTGTAAATGA